CCAAATGAAGGAAGCCACAGAAATTCGATGGGAAGGTACCATGGGAAGCATATAGAGGAGCAGAAAGCAGTATATCTGGCAATGAGCTTGAAGGGACAACCACTGGAAATACTTGGACAGTTGTCAGCAGATGACAGACACAACTATAGAGCACTGGTAGCAGCTCTAGAACTCAGGTATGGAACCCAAAATCAGTCTGAAGTCTACAGGGCTAGGTTTAGGAGGAGAGTCCATGCTGAAGGGGAGAGCCTGCAAGAGCTGGCACAAGACTTGGAAAGTATGGTAATGTTGTGAAACAGTAAATCTCACTATTCAGAATAACAGGTGTAATAAAGTGTAGAAAACGATTAGTAAAATGAAGAAGCCCACAAAGTTTTTCTGTACAATAATATTGTAACACAGAAAAGCTAACTGTACAGGGTAAAAACAAACAATGGGTGTAATGGAGAGTCAACAGTAATGTGTAGAAAAGCAACATTTAATTTGGAAAACGTAACAATGCTTTGTAGTACAGCAATATGGTGACACAGTGAAGCTAACTATAAAGGGTAAAGTAAACAATGGTTATGATAGAGGGACTCAACAAGATATATTAACATATTCAGTTAGCTATACAGGGTGGAATAAACATTGACTATTTGTAAAAAATTTATAATGTATAGTGGCAGAACCACAAAATGACAGTATGAAGCTGACTATACAAAAAAGGAAAAATAAGGGGATGAAAGGAAGGAGCCAACAATGTTTGGTAGAATAACCATATGGTGACAGAATGGAATGAAATAAATATGGTAATATAAACAATCTGATGACAAAAATGAAGTTATCTAAAAAGAGTAATATAAATATCTGGCTAAAGATAAACAGCAACAATAAATGATAGTATAAACAAAGATAACACTGAAGATAATAAAAAGTGTAATTATTTGATGGCAGCTTGAACCAACAATACAGGGCAGTATAAAGCAATATGTTGATTGTTTCAAAATAAAAAAATGGAGGGAAGTAAAACACAGTGAAGATGGTTATAAAGACACTTAGTCGTATGGTAAGGCCAACTATTTATATCTGGTATTATAAATATATAGTCGGAGATGAAAGTTTTGTATGTAGCTAATCATTAGGAATGTAGCACTAGTTTAGCCACATCAAAGACAAATTGAATAATTTTTTAATATTAAATCTGATATGATTATTATTTCATTGTTACATCTAAATTTTCAATTTGATGTAAGTTCTTGGAACAGAAATAACTGGTGTTTTTAAATTTTTACACAAATCAATTCTAGAAGGAGTATCTGAAAACTGAAAAAAAAAGCTGTCAACCAAAGCCTTTTTTTTCACTAACTGTTCAAATAAATCACCTTTGAGAAACTTTTAACGTACCTTTGACTTCCAAATTTCCAGATGCTTGTAATGAACCAAATTTGTTTATTGCAATGCATGTATACTGGCCTTCATCTTCCTTTGAAATATTTGTTAACTCCAAAATCCCACTGTTTAATGTCTATAATGATAATACACATAATCATCCATTAACCCAAATATAATTTATATTCAAAAATGCAGAGAAATATGTTCATAAGTCATCTATATTTCATTAATTGCTAAACACAACTGCTCATGTTAACTCCCTAATTTTGTAAACCTGTTATAAAAGCAAAAATGCATTTTTCTTCCCAAAAACATGCATTCTTCCACAAGTTATTATTTTAAAACACATGGAAAATATAAACTTTAATGGTAGTATTTTAAAATATAAATATTAAAAATATTCAATCTCATATTATGGTCTAAATTCCAACTTCTATAATAAATTGCTTTCATTAAACTACTGTACAAACTTAAGTATCTTCTATTCTTAGCTCTGCAATAAAACTATTTTTACTACTTGAATATAGCTATGACAGATAAATAAGTGTATATACATAATACTGCTTGCTTTGCTGCCACTTTAATGAGGATCTAAACATTACCACTTGACTGCTTGCTTTGATATCAAGAAGCTGCCATGTTAATAATATTCTGGCCTAAACATTAAAAAAAGGGAGTTAATCTTGAAAAAGAAAGAGAATGATAATATTTTTATTTTTTGGGTGAACAGTAACCACATTCAACAGTTTTTTAGCTGATGTCTCAAAATATAAAACACAATATCCTATAAGAATCATAACAATAATATTTTCAGGTTACAGATCACACCATTCCAGTGTCCAAACTCTAACAATTGATACTGGACAAGTAATTCCATCATCTTGTATGAGAAACACATTTGCTTTTTGTGATTTTTTTTTTTGGCAATATATAATTAAAGCTAAATTATGTTCATTAACATTCATTTCTCACTAACAGATTGACAATATGGGTATTTAGCAGACAACTAAACATTATACTTGCTAACAAGAAATTTCTCACTATCTTCAATAAAACATTAATACTTGCAGGATTTACCATCGATTTCCCCCACATTTTTTGGTGAAATTAAATATGTTTAAAATGCTTGATCTAGCCCAGACAATATGTAATGTGAATTTAACTACAGAATCCAGTAGATGACTAAATCATAGTTTTTACCTGAAATTGATTTCCAACAAGATCTTGATTGTCTTTTTTCCAACTCACTTGTGGCTTGGGTACTCCATATACCAGACACTTTATAATTCTTTTAGAACCAACAACAGCATAAGTAATCTTTTTAGGTGGTTCTCGCATTGTTGGAGGAATAGCTACCAAAACACACAATATTTTGAAGTGAGATACATTCATGCAGTTCATCAAGTTTTTAAACAGAAGTCCTAAACTTGTGACTGATACATATACTTTTAGAAAAATCAAGTTATCATCATGTCATCATGAACTTCTTTGGTGTCTCCACATTAAAACAAAAACTTTATAAAAACAGGTATGCATTAAAATTGTTAAAGTACAACAGTAAAATGCAATGATTTGATGACTTCATCACTATCAAATGTACCAGGCATATTAAGAGATAGAGTGACCTTAAAAAGACTGAAATAGGCTCTTGGCTTAACATGAGAAAAACAAACATTGTTTAGTTGTTTAAATGTTAAATTTACTTTCATTCATAGTAGAAAATCATATAAAAGGATTAAAGTATAAGTTAAAAATGGATATATTGAAGCTATATTGACAGGTTTAAGCTTTTGCCTTTTTAATTTTATATATACTTTTTCCAGTATCAACATTGTGGTTTAGATGCATTTACACATGCATTACATCTTTAAAAGACAAATCAGGCTGTTGTTTTTAAATGAAAGTGATAGTTTACATGTTATTTAATTACTGTTTAGTAGGCTTGCTAAGACTTAACACGTAAATAATCACTATTGTATGCAGTTTCTGATATCTCTCTGTATTATTTATTTAGCCATTACTCATTCAACTGGTTTAAATAAATATACAGAAAATAAATAATTGTCCTAACTACTATTCTTTTAGAAAACAGTTTTTCTAAATGCTAGTAAGTTTAATGAAGTATTGAAATAACATTGAAACTCATCACTCTAAACTTGTCTAATGTAAGTTTTGAGTAAGAACACTTAAAACTTAATTTTTTTTACTGTTATGAGCTGCTGTTGACAAGACCTTTTACACAGTATTTGAGGTCATCAATCCAACTATGTTTTATACCCAAAATCTTTGATGACCATTATTCCCATCGAACAGAGCAGAAACCTACACATTTTTACATATAAAAATTTTATCAAAGACCATGTGTTTAAAAATATTTTTTGTCTTATTCTTATGTTTTATCATATTTTAAACTAGAGAATGGAGCAGGCTTTGCCAGCTTTAACATTTTACAATATAAAAATAATAATTTACTTACAAAGAATGTTTAAATAGAAATTCTTGAAGGTATAACCATGAATATTGGAAGCATTGCACTGGTAAACTGCAGTATCAGTTTTCACTAGGTTAGTGATGGTCATTACATTCCCATTAATGATTCTTCGTGGATTCGGCTCAGCCTCTATACAGTGGAAAAATGTATCATAGATTTTCAATTACTTTAAAGTCTTTGATAAGCAATCATGCTAAAGGTGTAAGTAGAATATTTACCAAAACATAAGAAAAAAGGGAATAAACCATGATTTGAATATTTAAGTTTATAACTTTGTCAATCACAAAAAGACAAAAAAATCTTTGAATGCCATAATGAACAGCTAAATTCAATAGTAAACAAAACAGTGTTGTCTTCATTCTACTTACAGGTAATAAATATTATGTTTTTCTCTCATGGAGAGGTTTATAAAAGAAGAAACCATGGAACTAGTTTCTACCTTAAAGAGTCATAACAAAATGAATCAACATAATCACTGTAATTTATATGACAACCCCAACTTAGAACATATATTACAAGCCTATTAACAGATAAACTTGTTTATTAGACACACACACACCACTTTTAGGCCATCACATAACACATACTATAAAACTGAAAATAAGAGTTGTCTGGAGGACAGACAAGTACATGTCTCTCTCTCTCTTTACAGCAAAGGTTTACCTGTAAAAGTGCCTTGGCTTTTTTTTAAAACCTCTGACAGAGTAAGCCATTTATGTTGCTTTTGTTTCAGAGTAATCACAAAGCAAAGTTACATTATTGTTAAATGTATACACATTTTTCAAGTACATTAACTTAATTTTACAGAGGGTGAGTACATTATGTTAAAATGATTTTGGAGCTTCTCATGTCATTTTATTCCAAGTTGTTACACTAGATTATGCTCTATGTATCTGACAACTGTGTATTTTTGAAAATAAGTCTACAGATAGTTTCCGTTGCAAGGCTGTTCAAAACACACTCATCCTGTTAGCAGCTTTCTATAAGTATGTGAGGACGACACTCTGATCAGAAATACACAGGGGCTACATCCAGCAACTTGACTTACATGCCTTCATACCAAGTAATATAAATACCCATGTCATTCTCCAACTGTTTGAAGTATGCAATGGTTGAAGAGGAGGTGTGATTATAAGTCTTAGCTCATAACCTGTTGGCCTTGTTTCCAGATTGAGATCCTTCTAGATTATGTTGCATACTGTTGCTTGGGGCAAATGTACAGCTTTTACCACTGACCTTTTGTTCATGATTTCTCACTTGTTACAAAATGTTGCAGTTTGCTTACCTTTGCTGGGGTACATTTTGTTGCACATCTCTTTCTGGATGGTCCTGGTGCCCCAAGTTGATCCATATTCCTTTGTTTTCCAATGCCATTAAGTACAAGGAATATCCCCATCTTGGAAATTCTAAATCCCTGATTTGAATGCACCTTTGTGATCTGAGTATATGAATAATTTGCATCACGAAAGGTTGTTACATATCTTTCACAAAAGCAATACGTTTTTGTTGGCATTACATTAGCTACAAAATGCCAAAATATGTCAAAATGTGGTTCTGATACATTCCATTTCACCAGTACCTTATAATTGTGGTTGTCAAGTGCCTTGCTGATTTATATATTAAAATTTTTTTTAACATAACATATTCAATCCTCTATACAATGAACTCCACGTAAAGCTCAACTTGAAACAAGTAGGTTCTGACCTTTTTATATTTTCTAACACACAAACTTGTAATTACAATTTGGGCTTATCTTACTGAACTTGACCTCCTTTTCATGTAATCTGCAAAAACCAAAAAATCAATGTATCATTTAGACTTCATACCATCACTGGTTTTTCATACTCAAACAGTAGGAAACATCTTACCCTCTACAGCTTCTCCATTTATCAACCACTGAAGTTTTGGAGGAGGTATTCCACTAGCTGAACATTCAAATTTAACATTTTCTTCTTCAGCAGCCTGTGTGTTGGTTGGTGATACATTCCAATAGGGGGATGCTATGAAAACATATATTAATGAAATAGTTAATATTCTACTTTCTATGTGAATAAACAACTTACATTTATGTAAAATGTTCATGTCATTAGATAGATATTTATGTTTATGACTGGTAACATGATCTCCAACAAGTACAAAATAAAGAGCTTTATAGACTGGAAATTTTAACTTGTGCATTTCTTTTCAATAAATGTTTTAAATCTATATTTCTTCAGCTTTATCTTTAAGAAGATATATGCCTTACAAAATATTCATGGCAAGAGTCAGAGACAATTTACTCACATAAAGCTCAGAGAAAAGAAATCTTGATTCAACCTTTATAACACAAGTTTCTTCAGTTTGATGTTTAACTAGATAACTTTAGTTCACTTATCAATCCATTCTTATGCTTCATTCTAAACTACATCATCATTTTATATATCATGAGAACTAAAGAATATTTAGAAAATTTTTATTCTTTCATATTTTAAACACTCTCATTTTTAACCTTTATTTTATTTGAAAACTTTTGAATTTTTTAATTTTATACACAGAAAAAATAAGTGATATTTATTTAGTAGCATACACATATTTGGTGGTTGGTTTAAAACTTTGACTTGATATTAACCAAATAATTTACATATGCATTTGAGAGCCAAATTAAAAAACAACAACTAAACCTACATTCTACTGTGACTGTTATTGAATATCTCTGTTCACTTCCAACTCCATTATTAGCAATGCACTGGTAAATGCCTTCATTATCACTGCTAACATTTTTAATATTTAATATTTTGTCAATCTTGATAGGTGTACCAAGTCTTTCACTGGGTAGGGATCCTTTTTTGGTGAAATACCACTTCACTGTGGGAACAGGCCTAAATAAATAATGTAAAAAAAACACATTTAAGTGTTGGTTCATGAAAATTGCATTATATACTATCAAAGAATGTTATATAACAAAAACTCCCTAATTTAAATACAAATAAAATATTTTTATTTAATATAAAAAATTATTCTTAACTTCAGTGAATTTAACATGTTAATGTTATACTGTTACAACCAGATAAGGGGCATATAAAAGCTAATGTTTCTTAATAAACATTTTTACTGTATAAGATAGCAAAAATGTTTTACAAAGGAAGTATAAAGATGAGTTTAAACATTAGTTTTGTATTATGCACATATCCTTATATAAAAAAGGCTACTAATTTTTTATATAAAACCATGATTAAAATATTCCTTTCACACCAATCATTTAGGAAAAGGGCAAGGTAAGACAGCAAACAGATATAATGAATAAATCAAAATGTAAAATTTGTTTCTGAGGCAAAATTAAATGCTAACTAATGCAACTCTCCATTTAAACATATCTTTTCCTTTTGTGACTTAAGATGCAGTTATCTGTAGATTGAAGGTCTCAAAAGACAAAGGCATTTACTGAAATGGCATTCAGGGTTCAAAATTCTGTAAAACTATATGGTGAGTAACTTTTTTTTTTTGAGCTATTAACACTGTAAGTTTATTATTTACACACGTATATATACAGTTGTCCTTCTAAACTTTCTCTTACTTAAAATGTTTGAATGAAATTTGTAAAAAAAAAGAGTAGGTGCTAATACAGAAAAAAACTGTATATCATTTTTACACATTTTTGGAAAATTCAACAAACACCAAGAAAATAGAATTGTGTGAATATTAGGTTGATTGATAAACATGCCATCCTGAAACTAGTTTGATAAAGAGACCACTTAGGATAAAAAAAAAGAAAAAAAACTAAAGATAAATCACAGAAAAAGATAATCCTAGCTCAGGATAATGAAAGAAAGCCAGACTCTCCATATTTTCAGGAGATAAGTATGTTGAGTCTTTAATCTTACCATAAATATTACATTCTGTAGTTTCAATAAGTGTTTTATTTATTTTTTATAGCTGATTTATACAATTAAAAATTAGAAAAAAAAAACAGTTGAAATTGAGTTACTTAAAACAAGATAATTCTACAGCTACCTCAAAAGAAGAAAATACATATTTGAAAGTCTGTATGTCTTTTCCTATGGTTACCAAATTACAATATTTTAATAAATAGCCCATAAATTATATCCAAGTTAATAGGCTTTACATTGTATGGTTATTAATTAACCATTTCAAGATACTCTTAAAATCTACCTGCAGGATTAAGGATGTTTTTCATGACTATTTGCATTTCCCTACACTCAAACAATCAGATGTAAATGAAAAGGGTACAACAAATTATGAAAATATCATAAAACTTAAGAAAATTATAAAAATATTATATCTTGTAACTCTCATTTGCATAGTCTTCCTGCAGTAGGGTGGTCCATATTTTTGAAGTTTTAATTCACAATACCCTCACCCCCTAATTTTGTTCCAATATATAAATAAGTGATCCACACCACATTTTATCGATATTGAATAACATTTAGGGGTTACTCATGGTAGATTGTTTTACATCTACATGTTATAAATAATTCTGGAAGGTTCTAGATTATTCTGAAATATTCTAGCATATCATTATGGAATATTCTAGCATATTCTGGAATATTCCAGAGTATTCCATATATAAATAATCTATATTGCCACTTTCTTCTTCTGGAATATTCTGTATGATAAGACAATACTTTCTAGAATTTCTGTGAGGATATATAAGCACTTAAGCAGATTCTTCTGTATCATTTCAGCTGACACTGTATCAGCATATTACTGCAAATCTATACTGCATCAAGAAATAAGACTACACTTTCGCTGCTTGAATCAGAAGAAACTGAACTAATAGGAAGCAGATTACCTTCAAACAGGCAAGTGCTCTTTGTCTTTTCTACCATCACAAAACACTAAAGAAGACAGTTTATGAAAGCTCAAAGGTTGTGACAGAGAAGTAATTGGAGAACCATCATCTTCTGAGCCTAAAAAGAGGACAAGAAGAAATATTATCTCTCCTGACTTAGTAGCAGCTATGGGCAGAACCAAGTTGAGTGACAGAAAGGCAACATTTGTCCTTACTGCTACAGTTCACAGCCTTGGTCGTAATGTGCAGGAACTAATCGTTAACCATTCCTTGATCCAAAGAATTCAAGACTGCTTCCTTGAAGAACTTGTCAAAAACTTAAAGGAACATTTCCAGCTAACAATCTTACTTGTATTTCACTTAAATAGTAAGCTCCTTAATGATCTCACAGGGAAAGAATAAGTGGATCATCTACTAGTGATCTTGTCTGGAGCAGGAGTAAACCAACTCCTAGGTGTTACCAAGTTCATTTTTAGCACTGGAGAGGCTCAAGCTTCTGCTGTGGCACATTTGCTGAAAGAGTGTGGAGTAACTCATTGTGTAAAAGTAGTTTGCTTTGACACAACAGCAAGCAACACTGGTATCAGAAATGGAGCATGTGTGCTGTTAGAACAAAGATTAAACAACCTTCTGTATTTGACATGCTGGCATCATACCTAGAAATTATCCTGGCTTGTGTTTTAAAGAATGTGTATGGCTTTCCTCTGGTCAAGATACTACAATTTTAAATTGATTCCAACAGTTTTGGGAATACATGGACCAGTCCAGTTATGAAACTGCAGCTGACTATGGTGAAGTAACAGAAGCAATAGAGGGAGTTAAGGACAGTGTCATTCAGTTTGCTACAAGACAACTTCAGGTTATCCAACTTAGAGACAATTATAAAGAGCTTCTTGAACTAGCCATAACCTTTCTTGGTGGCATCCATCCTCATGGAGAGTAATTTATAGCATCTGGAGCACTGCATTATGCATGATGAATGGTCAAGGCATTATATGCTTTCAAGATTTGGATGTTTATAGGACAGTTTAAGCTCACTGGCTGTATGGAAAGTGGACTCTATGAAATCAGTATCTTTGTTGTTTGAGTCTATCTTAGAGTATGTTTCACCACACAGGATGCCATTTCTGCTCCCTTCAATGATTTTAGCTTTCTACAATGTCATATTATGTATAAGAAGGTGAATTATATTCTTTTAAAATCAGCCTCTCAAAAATTTGTTGGATATCTATGGTATCTCAATGAGAAACTCAATGATTTGGCATTCTTTGACTCAGCTGAATCCACAAAGACAAAATGAACAATGGTAAAGGCATGGATGAACTCCCAAAATGCATCCAGCTAGATATCAGGAAGTCTTAGGACATGTCGGTTGAAGATCGCATCAAAAATAGCACAACGAACTTCTTTAGGTGCATCAAACTTCCTTCTGGATTATGACCCTGAGTCATGGAAGCTCAGAAAGGACTACAGGGAGGCACTACAGACAGTTAAAACAAATTGTGTAGAATAACAGAAGATGATTTCCTAACACCAAAAAGGAAACAATAACAATGCAGGAGTGATTAACCACACCAAAATTATGTAATTATACTATTGTACACACAATAAAATAATAATATACTTTAAATAAATCATTTACAATACATAACAAATATGTTTTTATACCACATAGTACATATAGTACCAAGCCACTGCAGTCTAGAACTCCAACTTCATTGGAGGGAAGGAAAACAAAAGGATCAGAGAAGGATGTGGATGATAAGGAGGTTATACTTATAGGTGATTCCATGATGAGGAATGTGGATAGAATAGTCTGTGGGGTAAACAAGGAGAAAAGAATCAGGTTATGCTACCCAGGGGCACAGGTGGCGGATGTAATTGACAAAGCAAGAGATATAATAAAGGGGGCTAGCAGAAATGCAGTTTTTGTAGTGCTTGTAGGGGCTAATGATGTAGGGAAAGGTAGGTCAGAGGAGCTAATTAATAAGTAACATAATACTTTGGGACAACATTGGACTTATTGGTCCATCTCAGCTGTTCCATCCTCAAAACTAAATTAAAATCTTAAAAAAAATAATAAAAAAAATTCAAACCCAGCCCTTTTCATTCATATACTTATCAAGCTTTTTCTTAAACTCGCTTAAATTTACTGCCTCTACAACAACTGAAGGCAATCCATTTCAAAGGCCAACCACCCTGTTTGAAAAATAAAACTAT